TCAGGCCGCCCACCCTTTAAGAGAGGCAGTGACTCACCAGAACACTTTTTCCACAGCGGCCGGACACCCTGGGACACATCGCCCATCGCGATCTGCCACGTGCAATCCCTGTGGACTTTCAGCAGGGCCCAGGGAACTTGCTCCTTTACTCGGAGCATCCCTGGTGATGCTTTATTGGTCTGCGCTTAGCTACAGATGTAGCTGTAGGGTTTGTTTTGAAGCTGGTGTTTTTTGGATGTCAATTGCTGTTGCTATTTTCTGTTTTTCTGACTGTCTCCGTTTTTATTATGTGAGTTTTATTGTTGTACAACACTTTGAAAGGGTTCTTGCCCTGAAAGGCAGCCAACACATATTTTAAATGAACAAAATATGTATTTATCCTAAAACAAAAGGAACAAATGCCACAGTTTTCAACTTTCTTCCCTCCCTTCCTTCTTTCTAATGGATTCATGGCATACCCTTATGAGTCACATTGCGTGGATGACAACGACGCTGCCCTGAGACATGAATTTTCTCTCCCGCAAGATGTGCTATAAATTGAGCGCCGGTGTGACAAAACAAGTTGCTTGAGGAACGTGGGAACTGACTCCAGAGAGAGACAGCCGTGTGCCTCCCCAGTGGGGAAACCTCTTTGAAAGTTCAAGCTGCATTCACACAACTGCTTGTACCCCTGAACCTGATGGTGTGCCCTGACATTATGAGGCAGGCCCCAAAAGGCAAGGCACCAAAGGATGCGTTATCGCAAAACCCACTCGATGTCCGCATCCAGAGTTAGCTTTTTCTGCCTGGTGCCCGAGTCATCCAGGAGGGACTTCCTTTTATTCCTTAAGAAGCATGAGCAAAACAGAGATTAGAAAGTAGGGTGGTGAGTCATATTTCCTCAAGTATTCTGGGAAAAGGCAGGTGACTTTTTCATGGGTAACAGGATTTTGCTGGTGCTTCTGCAGCCAAATGGATAAAGATGGAAAGCAGCATTAACCAAAAAGAAGAACAACCAAAGACATGAACAAGGAAAGGTAGGAATCACCTGTACTTGAATGCATCCCAAGCGAGAGCTCAGCCATCCAGCTCAAAAAAGATGCAAGTGTGTGCATATGTGTGTACATATTTATTTTTGCACGTATCACAGAAGCACATGCAATTATGGGGAATGCACACTTTAAAAGAGCTTGCCAAATATGCTTTTTTATTAAAAAAGGATTTGGGCTTCACAAAGGCACAACTGTAAGAAAGCTTGTAATTTGACCAAATAAAACTTAATTTGAGCCATGAAATAACTGTGGTTTATTGTGTAATATATGTGCTATGTGTTTTAATTTAATAGAATCCAATATAACTGTAAGCCAGTCGAGTTTTCATTTATTTCATTTCTTTTTTCAGAGCAACCCCAAGCTGTTCCCTCAGCACAAGTCACCACAAGGATGCTCCTTTGCAGGAAGCACTGGGCGAAGCCAAACTTGCACCCGGAGAAAAATTTCGTCATCAGGGGCTCAGATGCATAGAAACATAGAAAACAGAGCGAGTCAGAAGGGGTCTCCTGGGCCATCTAGTCTGACCCCTGGCTCTAGCCGGCTCCGCTCACGACATGCCCACCATGTGGAGGTCCAGCCTATCCTTGAACACCCACACCAATGGGGCTTCAGCCACCTCCCGTGGAAGCCCATTCCACACCCTTGGGGTCCTGACTGGCAGGAAGTGCTTCCTGGCATCCAAATGAAACCTTGGCTCCCTGAGCTTTGCTCAGGGCCGTGCCTGGAGGGAGCAGGCCAGGGGAAGCAGCGCCCGTCCCAGAGGGCTCAACCCAGAGGAGGGGTGTGGGGAAAGCGTGGGGAGGGCATCCAAGGCCAGGGTGGGTGGCCACGGGTGCCTGGGGCTGCAATCCAACGCATCCAGGGGGCGCCTCATTACTCAAGCCTAGAAAGTTGCACCCTGAGAGGAAAGACACGCGGCACCCTATTCTGATGCAATGTGAAGGGAGCAAGCCCTTCCTGAGAGGAACCCGGCCAAGATACTTTGCAGAAAGGGCCTCTGGATCAGAGAAGCTTTTACGTCATCCCCGTGTCTCCCTCTTGCGGCTGGAAGCGAGGGAGGGCAGCCGCCGGCCCATCGGGTGTGTCCCGAGCCTCGCCTTGGATTGTGGCCTCTGATCTGTGGCGTTTGTGGCACGTCAGAGGGGCTCCGCGTGGCACCACTGGTCAGTGCACCGATTGGTTGCTATAAGCAAGAAGGGGGGCTTGCAAGTGCCGGATTTGGTCCTGCTTCTCAGCTGCTGCCTTAAAACCGCCATTAGTGGGATTTGGTGGACTCACTCATGGAAATGGGCCTGGAGAGCAGCTTCCTCCGTAACGGGATGTTGGAATGGCTGAACCAAACTGCGCAGGGGGAGCTTCATTACTTATTATTTATTTAAAGTTCTTATATGCCGCCCCAATACTTAAAAGTCTCTGGATGGCTTACAAAAAACCCAAAACCAAAGCAGCCATATACAACAACCAAGCTTTCAGACCGAATCAGGCGAAAAAGAGCGGCCAACGTTCTTGATAGCTGATGACCCAGAACAGGAAGTGGTTGGCGGCACAGGCGAGAAGGGAGAGTGCGAATTTCCAACGGGGGAGAGGCCAAGTGCTGGTGCTGAATCCCAGGGCGCATGGATGACAGCGCCGGAAGGGGGCTTGGGGTCCTCCAGCACAACGTCCTGCACAACACCACACCTGCAACGCCAGGTCCTGATGGAGCTGCTGCGTCCGTGAAAGGTGCTGCCGCCCAGACACCCAGGGAAGGGGAACGCACACCCCGAGGCAGGCTGCGCCACCCCGGGCACCTCCAGGGTTCGCCCCACGCGCAGCTGATTTCTCCTCCTTGCCGTTCTCTCTTGGGCGTGAGCCCTGCTCTGCGGAGCAGCAACTGACATGACCTCCCTCTCCAGGTTCCTCCAAGGCTGTGAGAAAGAGGGAGGCCAAGAGCTCACGGAGAGCAGAGCGCAGGGCATGGAAGAACCAGCTCAGGCTGCGGCAACCCAGAGTCAGGCTGGACATCCAGAAAAGCGTCCTCACGGTCAGAGCAACACGACAGTGGGACCCGCTGCTCTACCACACTGGAGACATCCAAGGCGAAACTGGACAGCCGTCTGGGTGGGATGGTGGAAACTGGTGTCCTGCAACAGCAGGGGGTGCACTTGATAACCTTCTGGCCCCTTCCAGCTCTGCTCTTCTGTGAGTCCATCAACTTGGCTTCCGTGGGCCAGCTGGTCAGGTACCTGGGGACTGCAACCAGGTCTCCCCATTAGCCTCTCTTCTCCAGATTAAACATCCCCCTCCTCTCAAGCATTCCCCATGTAGGTCAACCTTCACTGCATGACCTGAAGTTTGTCAACATCCTTCCTGAAAGATGCCACCCGGACCTGGACACTTGCCCTGCACAGAATATTTTGCCCCGTGATCAGCACACAATCTTCTCTTTTCTGCCCCCCAAGACAGCCTGGGCCTGGTGCTGACTGTCCTTGCGGGAGCAGGGCCCTCCCCGCGCAGCCATGATGTTTGCTCGAGGACTGCATGCCAGCCTCAGGCGGCTGCTGTGAAGGTAAAATGGAGGAGGAGGAGGAGGAGGAGGAGGAGATTGCCTGGGGTTCCTTGCAGGTGGGATATGGATATAAGCGAAGGCCCAACTATAGTAGCATTTATAGCCACCACACTGCAATTAGGGCTTCCTTTCCGCTCCTTCACACACCTACGACGGCTTACCGAAACGCAGCGCAACCAACAAGGACGAACGCAGACTTGGCCTTGCTGCACTGCTCCTCATCTCAGCGCCAACGGCCGCATTGCTGTCTGTATGCGCCCCGGGCCATTTTGCTTCAGACATCACTCTTCTTGGGATCCCTTAGGGGAAACGGAAGCATTTCTTCCTCAAGGATTATCAAACGGGCCTGGTAGAAATCGCTGCAAGATCTTGATAGAAAAAGCAAGGAGTCCTGAAAGAAAACTAGAACGACCCATTTGCCACGGTCCGTCCACTGCATCAGTCCATGCGGGCGCTTATGGAGCAAAATGTTGCCAGAAACTGCTCCAAGAGTGCCAAGCCCCATCAAGGCTGTGAGGCGAGCTTCTCTCTGTGCCTTGCGGGAGATGCAAACTTTAGCACCTCTCAGAACCCCGTTTCAGACAGAGCCAATTTCTATTTCAGCAAAGCTTTCCAGGGCTGAAAATGAAGTCCTTGGAGAGGCATTTTGGTGCTTACAAGGGGAAAAACGGCACAAGAACGGGGAATACCAAACAGGGGTTGGCTGGGAAAACACGAGGGGGTGCGCCATGGAGGGCCCAAAGTTCTCCAGGCCTGCCTTATCCTGGTCAAACTCCCAGGATGCAAATGAGGGACCTTTCAGAAGACCTGCTTATGGCACAAAAAGAATAGAGCAAATTGCTCCAGAGCAGGGCCACCTCTTGCGGGTGCGTGCAATTGCAGAATTCAGCCTTAGCAGAACGTTTCATTTCCACCCCGCCTCGCCCCGGCCACCATCGCCGGCTCTCAAGGCTGCAAAGATCAGTCTGCACATGTTCTAGGAGATGGGGGACACCTCAAAAAGTGGAAGCCGGGTGCCCTTTGGGGTGTTTCTGAGGTCCTCCGCTCAGTCCAGAGCAAGCAGTAGGGCGCATCGTTCCAGCTGGCCCATTGATTCACACGGCGTTTTTCCCTCTCTTGGCACGGATTCTGGCTTATTTAGGTGCTGATTTTTAAGAGCCGCCGATGGTGGGTAATCTGTCAGGTCACAGAATAGCCCGTTTCCTCAGGCGTCATCCCCATGCTAATTATCATGATATGAGAGGTACAAAAACCCTTTCCATAAAGCAAGAGTTTGCTTGTGGAGCTGGGAAATAAGTGCCCCGGATATACAACAATCTCTTTTCCATTTTGGATGCCAGAATGCCAGTTGGTTAACCTCGTAAGAAGTACCTTTCCTTCTATCTTCCTTGTTTAAAAAACAGACAATTGAGAGGACAACCTATAATGCAAATACTTTATTATCAATGAGTGACTGGTATTAGCTTTTTGTCTGGGTATTACTATTTAAAAACTATACAGCCAAAACATGGTGCTGTCCAATTTTGCTGTATTTTTTCCCTCCTTAAAAAAACTGTACTGAAAGACTTACAAGCCAAAGTGCATTTTCCGTTTTTTGTCCATAAACACATTGCACCATACATAAATAATTACATTGTAAAAAGGACTCCATAATTACAAGTATAATATATATTTTCATATAATATATAAAACTTTATATTAAATCTAGGTAGATGATATCTTGGGATCGCCGGTGCTCCTTGTCGTTCTCCTCCCGGCCAACGGCTACGCGCTGCCACTGCTGAGCAAGATTTCCAGCCAACACGGGCAGGAGGTAATGAACTGCCTGGAGTAGCACGGGCCCCAGCCTTTCGCAAAACTGATCCGGACACTGTTGGGGTCGAAAGGTCCGTCTGGGTACTCCAGGTCAGTGGTGTGCTGTAAGAGGCAAGATTTCTCGTAATCGAAGACCTTTATCGAATAGCCGGGCATCACTTTGCGCACAATCAGAGTCCGACAGTTGGGAATGTCCAGTGTTGGCGAGTTGACAAAGATCGGGTGTTCACTGCGGTTGTAAGCCCAAACACCGTCTGGTTCTTTGCTGAGCAAAATCCCATATCCGATCTTACTTCGAGTCCGCCGGACAATCTCGTTCCTGTTGTCCAGGTTTAGCTGACCAAGACAGAAGCCGTTTCCTTGAGGTAGGTCATAAAATATACTGACAGACTGTCCATACACCATGTAGAGACGCCCAACCCGCGTCCGATGCTCCCAGTAGGCCACGCTGCACCAATGGCTTTGTTTAACTGCATCGGGGGACATGGTGGCGTCTGGGGAAAGAGGAACAAAAGGCCAGATGCATTAAAAGCAGGAGAAATGTCTTACACCAGCAGAGGTGCTAACAACTCCATGCGGTGCAGGGGCTGAGAGCATGGGGCTGGCACTCGGGAGACCTGGGTTCGAGTCCCGGCTCAGCCATGGAGCCCACCGGGTGCCTCTGGGCCAGTCACATGCTCCCAGTTCAAGCTACCTCGCAGGGTTGCTGTTGTGGGGATTAAGGATGAGAGTGAGAGGAGGAGGAGAATGTAAGCCACTTTGAGTTCAGTGTAAGAAAAAAGCAGGATGTAAGATTTTATTTTATTTTGGAAATTAAAAAATCCCAAGCACTGTGCATTCAAAATGCACTTGGGTTCTGGAAGCGAGTTAAGCCGGACTTTCGACAGGACCAGGCTAACATTACCTAGGCCTGGGCTTAGAAGTGGGGGTGCCCCTCATCCTGCCCCTGGAAAGGTGCGCCTAGAGCTGCCTGGCCACTGCCCTCGCCAGGCATCCACCCGCCTCCCAGGAAGAGCTGCCCCTCCCAAAGCAGGCTCAGCAGCCCCCCCCCCCCCGAAGCCCCGCAGGGCTGCCACGGCCACAGCAGCGACAGGGATGCTTCGCCCAGCCCCTCTGGCCCCGGTGCCACAACGGCCACGTGCCTTGCGGGGCCCCCATCTGGAAGCATGGCTGCAGCACCTGGCGCCACGGAGCCCTCCTTTCACAGCCGCCGAGAATGAGTTTCCAGGAGCCCTCAGTGCGTGTGCCCCACACAGGAGAGGCGTGCTTTTCCCGGCTCACGTGCAGCGTCCAGAGCCCACAGCTTCCCGAGGCCACTCGGAACGGCCGTGGCCTGCGCAGGCAGGAGGCAGAAATGGGGCCACCCACAAAAGGCCCTGTCCTCCCGGCCCGGCAAGCACAGAGGGAGGGGCACCGCTCCCATCCCGGGCGACCCACCCATCTCGCAACGCCTCACTTTGCCTACTCTGCATGTGCGCAGGGACCCTTCACTTGACCCTGGGGGGCCCCTTTCCTGCTGGGCGCCTGCTTTTCGCTTCCCCCCACATCTGACCCCTTTAGATGGGCAAGCAAAGAGTGGAGTAGCAGGGTGAGTCCGAGGGGGCCCACAGTGCACAAGTTCGGAAGAAACACACAGCCCTTCGACCCTTCCTCCCAGCCTCGACCGCTGCCAAGCTCCCCCGTTTCACTCCATTTCCAAAGGCAGCGCCGAAAGAAAGCTGCCCAGCTCAGATCCAGGATAGTTTGCATGCATCCAGGAGCCCAAACCATCAGGAGACGAGCGCCTTCCCCTTCCCAGCCAGCTCGTGCAAAGCACGTCTCCCTTTCGCTGGCCAGAGCAGGTTCGGCAACGCCAAAATGCCAGCCTTGAATCAAGAAGCAGACAGAAAATTGCAAGACAACAGCGGCCTCTCAGCTTGCGCGGCTTGGCGACTGGGTCTCCTCCTCGGCTCTGGCTGGAACGAAGGCGCACAGCGTCAGTCCGGCATTCTTGGCCTGCGGAGCGTCCGGAAACCTGGCCAGGCGCTGGGGCTCACGAGGTTGGCATTCAGCTCCCTAACAATCTGCCGCAAGACTGTGGCCTCCCGACCCTTTGCCTTCACGCCATCAAGTCTGATTAACTCTCACGCAGAGGCCCATCCTTTTGCTTCAGGGAGTCTTTGACTCGCCGGATTTCGAAGACAGAGACCGACCCGCCCCCGGCAGCCCCGGCCCCTTTTCTACCTCAGATTTCGTGGACCTTACTTGCCTGGGGAACAATCTCCAACTCGCACGGCTTTGTTAGAGTTTAACTCGAGTTGTAACTCTGCAATTTTGAAAGGGAAAGGGAGGGGCAGGAGATAATTGAGTTTTTCCCACCTCTCAGACAGACAATGCAATGGACAAACTATTTGGCTGGAGTTCAAATATGTTCTCATGTTTTATTAATCAAGCAAGCCCCTTTCCTGGAGATGCTCCAACACTGTCAGGAGGGGAAGTTCCTATTTACATGTAAACGGGAAGAAAATATTTCCTCCCCGGCCCCATCAGTTTACAAATTATCTTAATAATTTGTAGTAATTGGGAATATGCAAATAATCCCACCCATAATTTGATAAGCCTCTTTCCCCTGAGTTTTTGGAGTGAATTAGCACCCAGACGAAAGGTACTCCCGAAAGGTACTCCCGGGGCTTTTCTAAACCTGCAGGGACTTTAAGAAGCAAAATCCACATTTAGAAGATGCTTATCAGGGTTGGTGCCTCCCATCCAAAGTTCTTAGCTCGGCTCAGGTAAAGCAAATCCTAAAGAGTGGCTGAAACATGCCATGGGCCGCAGAGAAGAGGCAATGTAGGTGGGCGGCCAGGAACGAGAGGTCATGCGCTCCGTGGCTGTGAGCTGGCGAGTGGTCCCGGCAAGCACGCCTGACGTGCTCTCCAGCCACTAGCAAGCCTCTGTGCCGGCAGGTAGATTTGTGTCATCTCAAGAGAAGGATCTATGAAAATGAGAGTGTTTGAGGGTTGCTGTCGGGGAGGAACGGTTCCTCTTGGGACACCAGGGGCCAGCACTTTGGGGGCAAGACAGAAGAGCCAGAACCCTGAATGCCCCTGCATCGTTCCACCTCGGAAAACCATCCCTGCCCAGCAGGTGGGGAGGTGCTGGTAACCCATGACTGCAGGCCGCCACCTCGCCCAAACTCCCCACCCTGGCACCCCGCTCGCCCGGGACATGGAACGCCGCCAGCAGGCATGGCAAAAGTCCCCGGTGGAAACTGCAGTGACAAGAAGAGCTGCCTGCTGGCAAGGAGAGGAGGCGAAGTGGGTGCCTTCTGCCCCGAAACACTCCCCAGTCCTGGTGGGGAGGGGGTTCTTGACTCCCGTGGGCGGCGGCAGGAGCTGCAGAATAAAATCTGGCACAGCCCACGGAAATGCATCCAAGGAGCCGCAACGTAAAACACCTGAAGGGACGGCAGAGTTTTTAGCAGCGCCCAAGAAGTGCGGCCCGCTGCGAGTCTCTGTCCCGGCAATTTCTTCGTGGGCTGGGCTTCTGCTACAGCAGCAGGCAAGCTGAGATCCTGCTGATGCTTCCGCATCCAACTCCCATCAACCCTGGCCAAAGCTGGTGGGAATTGTAGGCCAACACACCTGAAAAATCACAAGGGGAGGTGCTGGGCGGGTCGGGAGACGTAAGAGCGGCCAGTCAAATGGGACAACCCACCTTCTCACCCCTGGGCACAGCGCATGGGAACGATCCTGTTTCTGTGCACACCTACTCAAGAGGAGCTCGGCATGCAACTGACTTCCACCACATCTTTCCAAGAAGAGAGATTCTGTGTGCCTTCTTCCAGCCCGGTAGAACCAGGGGCTTTCCTCAGTAAATTCTGGAATCTGGGAGCAATTAACACTTCTTTGTCTGCTTAACCCCTTACACCACTTCCAAAGCACCATTAGATACAGTGGTTGTGTGCCTGTGCTTCAAAGGAAGCCCCACTTAACCCTTAGAATTCCTTCTCAAAACTCTGAATTTGCAATGCAATGCAAAAAAATCCCCATTGTGTGGTCTGAGCAAATTCAACGGAGCTTCTGGCGTGGTGCGCATGGCTAGTATTCCCGCTAATCATGGCTGTTTTCCCAACTGCTTGTGCAGGGAACCAGGGAAACAATGTCTTCATGAGGTTTTCCCATTGGAACGCCACGGTGACCGCGTGCAGCTGGCTCGAGCTGCAGTCAATGGGACTGGCTGTCCCAAGTTTGGCTGGTGAGCTTAGGGAAGAGGAGGCTTTTGGACAAGCTCCCGCAGAAGGCCTGCACAGGTGGTCCGGAGCAGCCCCGTCAGGCTGAGTGAGGCATTTACCAGGGGGTGAGCAACGCATGGCCTCCCCACTGCCATCACCACCCACCCTGCTGGGGGCAGCCTCCCACCGGGATTTTGCGGGCGGATGCAGTTTTGGCACTACGGAGGGCGACGTGCGTCGGGTTCAGGCTGTTCTGAGCTGGGCCTGCCACACTGCAATGGCTTGCCAGCAAAATTTGGAGGGGAGTCCGCTTGGAGCAAAGCGGCGGAAGGGGAATCGGGTGGGAGGCGATGTGCTTGTGTCCATGTCCCTAAGCTTGGTGCTCAGCCACAGCCTCTGGGCAGAGAGGAAGAGGTGGCGGGAATGTCTGTCTGGGACGCCCACCTGGAACCCTGGGGAGCGCCTGCCAGCCCCCAGTGAAACAGGCCACTGCTCTGACATCACACGGACCCCTTTGGAATGCCCCCTTTCCCATAACAGATGGGGATCCCAGGGAAGGGTGGGCACTGCTGCGAAGCAGAGTGACGGGGTGCAGCCAAGATCCACCCGCCGCCCTCTGACACAGCGCCTGGTCTCCCTACGCATCACCCATTCCCTGCAAGGGCCGGCAACCCGCGCTTTTCCTCCAGGCCGGGGCCTCCTCATTGGACAGGAAAGCCCAAGGGCGACATAAGCAGAGCTCAGCGCCTCTATGAGGGGGCCGCTTGGTGTGAGCCGGTCCCTTTCCAGGGATGACCCCGAGCTGGGCTATTCCGGGCACACCAACTCCGCCTCCTCTTCGCTTCCTACAGCCTTAAAGAGCTATACCGAGTCCTGGGGAGAGAGAAGAGGCTTGGCCGGCATCTGGGAGGCCAGAACCCCGGAAGGACCGAAGCGCCTGCTCGTCGCAAGAGGCGCGGATGGAGGCGCCAGCCGGGTCCCGTGGGGTGGAGGCAGGAATGAAGCGGAACCACATGGGAGAAGCTGCGTGGGCACACGGTGGGCCATCGCCTGAACAATGCACTAGCTGGAGGACAGCTCTCAGGGCAACACTCCTGCCCGGCATAGTTCACAATTCTCTTTCAACCCGTGCCAAATACAAGCTGTGCAAAAAGAAACCTACCAAAGGATCCAATATTCTAGCTGGGAAAAGACCAGGATCCCCGGAGCGAGTGTGACCCATGTACTGCAGAGCATGTTGCTAATGGGCAACTTTTACACAACTTTAATGAAGAAATAATCAAT